GTGCAAGGGTGCGATCTCGCTTCACTGCAATTTTCGCTTCCTGGGTTCAAGCAATTCTCTTGCCTCAACCTCCCAAGTAACTGGGATTACAGGCGCCTGCCACCACACCTGGCTAATTTTTTGTGTGTATTTTTAGTAGAGATGTTGGCCAGACTGGTCTTGAACATCTGACCTCAGGTGATCCGCCCGCCTCGGCCTCCTAAAGTGCTGGGATTACAGGCGTGAGCCACCATGCCCAGCCTACTTGGTTTCTTATTAAAGAAATAATATGCTAGATTTCATTTGAAATTCAAAGCTCTAGAACCAAGAACTAGGTTCCCAATTATTTGACTACTTTTCTAAGTAAGTGCTGTATAAACCCTTTGTTGCTTGTTATTTGACTACTAGTATCCTGTCCACATCACACTCCCAGTCTTTTTGGCCCTAGTCTTAAATTTACTACCATAAGCAAAACCGTGATAAATAAGGCCCTAAATCTGTGTTTTTCTTGTTTTGTGATGGGGAATGATAATACTTCTCTGGGAGCAGAAATGTGCTTAGTTCTTTTATTTAATTACAGTTAACTTTGTTATGTAGGAATCACAACATAAACTTTTATAATATAAAAATTTAATTGCTTCCAGGAATTTATTTGGGAAAACCGTGAAACAATGTATAAACACCTGTTTTAAAACATTTTTATCTAAAAGGCAATGTCCTAAATGTTTATCATGCTTTTAGTTTTTAAAATGAAAAGGGGAGGGCCTTATAAGAAAAAAACTGTTTTTTTTCCCCCCCCAAACTTGTGAAGAACAGTTTCTAGGCCTAAATATGTTTACTATAATGCTAAAAGTTGCTGCAGTTGCTGCTGCTTATATAAGCTGTTGACATTGTCTTTTGTAGTCTTTTATGACCAAGGCATAAACATGGCTTTCATCCTAACTAGTTTGGGTTAGGGTTCAATACTGTACCCAAACACCAACAGATCTGTTTGACCTTTAATAGAAGTCTTAGTACCACTGTTTTCTATTTTTAGCCAGTTTATAAAACCTTGACCAATTGATGAGTCTTGGTAGTTATTCTGTTTGTCTCTGAAATGAAATGATGTCATTGGATCATTATATTAGGTTTTAGAATTAGAAGTGAGAAGACAAATTCCCCCCCCCTTCTTCCCTTCCTCCTCCTCTTTTCTTTTCGTTCCTTCCATCTGTCCGTCCATCCCCCTCTGTTGCCCAGGCTACAACTACACCCTCTGTTCAGTGATGCAATCTCAGCTCACTGCAACCTCCACCTCCTGGGTTCAAACAATTCTCCTGCCTCAGCCTCCTGAGTAGCTGGGACTACAGGCACACACCACCACATCCAGCTAATTTTTGTATTTTTAGCAGAGACAGGATTTCACCGTGTTGGCCAGGCTGTCTCGAGCTCCTGATCTCAGGTGATTGCCTGCCTGGGCATGATTAAAGACAGGGGCCACCAAGCCTGGCTGAGAAGGCAGATTTTAATTGTCTAGCTATCTGGCCTGTAAAGTTAAGTTGGAGGTGGCAGAATGTTTTTGGTTTTTTTTCTTTGTTTGAATTTTGCTGTAAGGTAGAGAATTAGAAAAAAAAAAAGAAATCAGAGGTTTAGGACCTTAATTCTTTTCATAGGAAATATTCTCTCAACATATATTGTCTCCTAATACCCTAATCAATCTTAGAGCCCATTGTTGAGTGACTGGCTTGTCTTCAGGACCAGGGCATTCTCTTAGGTGTTTTGCTTTCTTGTTGTTTGTACCTGTTCTTTTAATTTCTCTTTCGTATATGTCTATTTATTTTCCAGTAACTTTTGAGAATCCTTTGCTATTGTCTGGGAAATTTAAGTTAGTATGAAGTACTTTTATCTTTTGCAAAGTACATAGCAAAGTAACCCAAATGTGAAAATGGGACATCACTTTCAGTGATGTGACTATAGATTGAGGTAACTGTAATAGAATTGAATCCTCAGTAGAGAGCACATTTCAGAACAGAGAAATAGGCTATAAAGACAGACATTGGAGGTTTACTTATTATGCAAATAAATGACGAATAGGACTGGAGGTTAAACTTTCCCAGCCTATTTGTGTTTTGTTGCAGGGATGAGGTTTCAAGCTACAATTTTTCACTGTGGTCAAATTGGTTTGCTAGTCTCAATATATAGTCCTACCTTGGAATTGTTTTTGCTTTTTACTTCAAAAATTTTTGTCGAGATGGGGTCTAACCACCTTGCCTAGGCTGGTTTCAAACTCCTAGGCTCAAGTGATCCTTCTGCTTTGGCCTTCCATAGTGCTGGGAATATAGACATGAGCCACTGTGTCTGGCCATCTTTTTTTTTTTTTTTTTTTTTTTTTTTTTCTACCTTTCCTTTTTTTTTTTTTTTTTTTTTTTTTTTTTTTTTTTTTTTTTTTTTTTTTTTGTTTTTTTTTTTGAGACGGAGTTTCGCTCTTGTCTCTCAGGCTGGAGTGCAAGGGTGCGATCTCGCTTCACTGCAATTTTCGCTTCCTGGGTTCAAGCAATTCTCTTGCCTCAACCTCCCAAGTAACTGGGANTTTTTTTTTTTTTTTTTGAGCTAAGATCTCACTCTTTCAGACTGGAGTACAGTGGTGCAATCATGGCTCACTTCACCCTTAGCCTCCTGGCTCAACCTCTCAAGTAGCTAGTACTGCAGACATGCACCACCACACACAGCTAATTTTTGTAATTTTTGTAGAGTTGGGGTTTTTCCATGTTGCCCAGGCTTGTGTTGAACTCCTGGGCTCGAGTGATCCCCGCCACCTCTGACTCTCAAGTGTGCTACAATTACAGGCATAAGCTGTTGTGCCTGGCCTTTTTTCCCATTTTTATTTGAAGGAAGCTTTGCTTTTGTCTGTATTTTCAAGTGCTATTTATGGGTCAGCCTGAGTTCCTCCATTTTCTTTGTTTTCCTCGGACACACGTGTACACAGTTTTTATGACATTGGGTTACAATTTAAAATTCTGTGAGCAGTTCTGGTAAATACTGGTTTGTAATGATGTTGATGTTGACTGGTCCTGCTGATTTACTTGGATCTCTGCTATTCATGTAGAATTCAAATATAGGATACTTAAAGCAGTGCCGAAAGAGGTATCCTTCTGTGTATTTCAGAGAGGAATTTGCTTGTGTACTAAATTCACATTTAATTTTGTATTGTCTCTTTTAGGAGGAGAGCATTCCCATTGCTTTATCTGGTAGGGATATCTTAGCTAGAGCAAAAAATGGAACAGGCAAGAGCGGTGCCTACCTCATTCCCTTACTTGAACGGCTAGACCTGAAGAAGGACAATATACAAGGTTAGTTGAATAAAAGTTTATTTTTAAACTAAAAATGTGAGTTTCAGCCTTGGAGCTATATGTAGAAGATACTCCTTTTTTTAGTCAGAATTTATATTATCTAAAATTTGTATTCTTTCTTTTCAGGTTTTTTGTTTTGTTTTGTTTTTGTTTTTTTGGCCTGATGATGGTCTTCTAAAAATGATTCCCAGTTTTTTAGAGATTTCTAGTTATCAGTATTTTTATATGATACACAGTTTTGACAGCATTCCAGTGAGATAGGCAAAATAAGTATTAGTGCCCTATAGATAGGAAAGCTGAGGCTGGACACAGTGGCTCACAGCCTGTAATCCCAGCACTTCGGGAGGTCAAGGTGGGTGGATAACCTGAGGCTGGGTGTTTGAGACCAGCCTGGCCAACATTGCAAAACCCCATCTCTACTAAAAATACAAAAATTAGCTGAGGATGGTGGCATACACCTGTAATCCCAGCTGCTTGGAAGCTGAGGCACAAGAGTCACTTGAACCCAGGAGGTGGAGGTTGCAGTGAGCCAAGATTATGTTACTGCACTCCAGCCTGGGTGACAGAGTGAGACTCTCTCTCAAAAAAAAAAAAGAAAAAGGACAGTTCAGATCATGAGAGGTTTAATTAGTTGACATTGCTGCTTATAAACTGTAGAGCTATTTCTTGTGACAGATGAGTGTTACCACAATTCCTTGTAGAAACATGAACTTCTGTTTAAAGGCGTGGGTTCTAGGATTTTAAGAGCCTAGGCAGTGCGGAATAGTTTTCATACTTATATTCAGTATAAGTTAATAGAATTAGGATTTCACCTCTGAAACTTTACATACGTTTTTAGCTTTTTTGAGCTTTCTTGATGTGTAATTATCATTTCTTCCTACTTTCATATGATGTAGATACAACCTGGGTAGCAGGAGTTTCCTACTTATGTATTTTAGACTGGTGACTCTGACTCAAATGTAGTTGGGGCTCTTAGAAAGATAATAAACTTTGAGCTAATAGTTGCCAACTCAACCTGCTAAAAGTTTGTAATTAAGAAGTGTGTTGGCCATGTGTGGTGGCTCAGGCCTGTAATCCCAACACTTTGGGAGGCCGAGGCAGGCAGATCACCTGAGGTCAGGAGTTTGAGACCAGCCTGGGCAACGTGGTAAAACCTCGTCTCTGCTAAAAATATAGAAATTAGCTGGGTGTGGTGGTGTGTGCTGTAGTCCCAGCTACTTGGGAGGCTGAGGCAGGAGTATTGCTTGAACCTGGGAGATGAAGGTTGTAGTGAGCTGAGGTCATGCCACTGCACTGCAGCTTAGGTGACAGAGTGAGACCCTGTCTCANAAAAAAAGGATATGGTGGCTCATGCCTATAATCTCAGCACTTTGGGAGGCCAAGGCAGGAGGATCACTTGGGGTCAGGAGTTAGAGACCAGCCTAGCCAACATGGTGAAACCCCATCACTACTAAAAATACAAAAAATTATCTGGGAATGGTGGTAGGTGCCTGTAATCCCAGCTACTCGGGAGGCTGAGGCAGGAGAATCGCTTGAATTTGGGAGGCAGAGGTTGCAGTGAGCTGAGATGGCGGTGAGCCGAGATGGCGTCACTGCACTCTATCCTGGGCAGCAGAGCAAGACTGTCTCAGAAAAACAAAAATGAGGCCGGGCACAGTGGCTCACGCCTGTAATCCCAACACTTTGGGAGACCAAGGTGGGCAGATCACCTGAGGTCAGGAGTTCAAGACCAGCCTGGCCAACATGGAGAAACCCCATCTCTTTTTAAAAACAAATAAAAGATGAAAAAGTAGAGTGTAATATTTACATGGCAGTATTGCTGAGTGAAAGTCTAAATCTGGAATACTGTAATTGGCTTGGGTTTTTTTTGTTTTTTTGAGACAGAGTCTTGCTCTGTCACCCAGTCTGGAGTGCAGTGATGCCATCTTGGTTCACTGCAACCTCCACCTTCCGGATTCAAGTGATTCTCTTGTCTCAGCCTCTTGAGTAGCTGGGATTACAGCCACGTGCCACCACACTCAGCTCTTTTTTGTATTTTTATTAGAAATGGGGCTTCACCATGTTGGTCAGGCTGGTCTCCAACTCCTGACTTCAGGTGATCTGCCTGTCTCCGCCTTCCGAAGTGCTGGGATTTCAGGCGTGATCCACCACTCAGTAAGGGGTAGCATTTCTATAGCTTCTTAAATTTTGTAAATACAGTGTGTAACGTGTTCTACCTCACCCCATATTTTCTCTGTTCCTTGGTATTTTTCAGCAATGGTGATTGTTCCCACTAGAGAACTTGCTCTACAGGTCAGTCAAATTTGCATCCAGGTCAGCAAACACATGGGAGGGGCCAAAGTGATGGCAACCACCGGAGGAACCAATTTACGAGATGACATAATGAGGCTTGATGATACAGGTAAGAAATTATTACTGAAAGGTAGCGTAGCTTTCTGTAATGTTAGTCACAGTATTTCAGTAAATTATTAAAAAATTGTTTTTAAGAGTTAAGGAACAGAAACACTGCAGTAAAAAAAAATAAAGGAAATGACTATTGCACTAAAGAGAAAAAGACACATTTATAGGCCGGGCACAGTGGCTCATGTCTGTAATCCCAGCACTTTGGGAGGCCGAGGTAGGCAGATCACCTGAGGTCGGGAATTCCAGACCATCCTGACCAACATGGAAAAACCCCGCCTGCACTAAAAGTACAAAAATTAGCTGGGCATAGTGGCACTTGCCTGTAATCCCAGCTACTCGAGAGGCTGAGACGGGAGAATCACTTGAAGCCAGGAGGCCGAGGTTGCAGTGAGCCAAGATCTCGCCATTGCACTTTAGCCTGGGCAACAAGAGCGAAACTCTGTCTCAGGAAAAAAAAAAAATTATAGTAATTGAAAAAGATGTTTGACTTTATTAGTAATTGCCTTATTAGCAAGTTTATAGTAATTTTTTCTGTTTAATAAAGCTAAAAATATTAGACGATACTGTGAGTTTGTAGAGAAATAGGCTGCCTTGTAAACATGGGATATAAACTGATAAGATGGACAATTTGGCAGTATATTTTAAAATTATAAATGTGTATTTTTAAGAATCTTTCCTGAAGAAAAAAGTTGGGTAAATTCAGGGCAGTATGTACGAAGTTGTTTACTATGGGGTGGTTTGTAATGCTGATTTGATAAATACATTGAGGTATAGTCTGAATAGGATTCTACATAGTCATTAAAGAGGGAAATTGATCTGTATTCATTTTCATGAAGACGTTTCACGATACTTTACTGAGTGGAAAAAGATAATGAAGCAGCAAGAATGATATAATTTATATAAAATTATATCTAGATTCTAGTCAGAATACTAGATATGATTATGTGATGTAGTCTTTGTATTGTATAGTTTGTGTGTTTGTTTTTTGGAGACGGAGTCTTACTCTGTTGCCACACTGGAGTTCAGTGGTGCAATCTCAGCTCACTACAACCTCCGCCTTCCAGGTTCAAGCGATTCTGCTGCCTAAGCCTTCTGAGTAGCTGAGATTACAGGCACCCACCACCATGCCCAGATAATTTTTTGTAGTTTTAGTAGAGATGAGGTTTCACCATGTTGGCCAGGATGGTCTTGATCTCTTGACCTCATGATCCACCCGCCTCGGCCTCCCAGTATACTGGAATTACAGGCCTGAATCACCGCGCCCGGCCGTATTGCAGTTTTAAAAAATGATTGATTGTCTTGTTTGATCCTTTTAACTTGGAAGGCTTTGAAGTACTTTGAAGACCACTGCATTAGATTAGAGGCATTGCTATTGTTTCAGAAGCCTGTTGTGCTTTCTGTTATTCATTGGGAATTGTCCTAAGACGAGAAAGTATGCCTCTTGTTGGAAGCAGGTGATTTGGGAAGCTGTAGCCCACCCAATGTAGAGTGAAACAAACAAGTATTTTTTAACCATCCTGTGGTGAAATGGAAGTCTTTATACTAAAACACATCTTTGTGCCATTTTCTGTTATTCCCACCTCTGTAACACAATAGTGTTCCTTTTTTCTTTTTTTATTTTTTTTTGAGACAGTGTTGCCCAGTCTGGAGTGCAGTAGCATGATCTTGGCTCACTGAAACCTCCAACTGTAAGGTTTAAGTAATTCTCCTGTCTCAGTCTCCTAGGTAGCTGAGATTACAGGCTCCCACCACCACACCCGGCTAATTTTTGTATTTTAAATAGAGACAGCGTTTCACCACGTTGACCAGGCTGGTCTCAAACTCCTGACCTCATGTGATCCACCTGCCTCGCCTCCCAAAGTGCTGGGATTACAGGCATGAGCCACTGTACCCGGCCTAATGTTTCTGATACAAGATAGTCATGTGCTGCATAACAACGTTTTGATCAGTGACCGACTGCATGTAGGTCGGTGGTCCCATAAGATTATTATGGAGCTATGCAGTCGAGTAAGCGATACCATCTGGGTTTCTCACATAGCAATGCATTTCTCAGAATTAATCATTAAGCAACTCAGGACTATATATGGTAAACCTTTACATTATCCCTTTTGCCCAAATTAAAATTAATGAGAATATATGTTTTCTAAATCTTGTGTAGTGCACGTGGTGATTGCTACCCCTGGGAGAATCCTGGATCTTATTAAGAAAGGAGTAGCAAAGGTTGATCATGTCCAGATGATAGTATTGGATGAGGTAATATCTCTACATTTGGCATTATACTATTCTGTACTTTTTCTGTGCTTTGCTTATAACTGCCAGAGAATGAAGCAAAAGCTGCTCGTGTTTATAATCTAATAAGCATGTAAATGGTCAGTTTAAATTAATTTGCTTGTAAAATGTGTTTTACCCATCAGAGGCAGTAGATTATAGGCATTCATTGGGATTCAGCATTTTGTCTCTTTCTTAGAGATGCCAGAGGTTAGGTTTTATTTTAATTTTTAAGGAATGGCTGAATAACCTCAAAGCCAAGTTAATTCTAAGTCTCTTTCTACTCAGTGATTTTTAAAAGCATGTAATATATATTCTGTCTTCTCATTTTGTGCATACCACTTGGTATTGTTTGGTTTTTGGTCTCTGTTAAATGTATTATCCCACCATGTTGTAAATGCCTTTTTAAAGAACTTATTAAAATCTGTAGTCCTGCAGTGTAGCCATGTTTTGTGCAGGTACAGATGGTCCTTGACTTATGATGGTTTACTTTACAGTTTTTCAGTGAAAGTGATATGCTTTCCTTAGAAACCGTACTTTGAATTTTTAAGTTTGGTATTTTTCCTAATAAGTAATATACTGTAAACTGCAGCTCCCAGTCAGCCACATGATCATTGAGGGTAGACAGCCAATACGCTACGGTATACAATGTTGTCAGGTGATTTTGCCCACCTGTAAGCTAAGGTAAGTGGATGTCTACATAATGTAGTAACTACCTTAATTAGCACGTTAAAGGGAGGCTGGGCTAAGTGATGATGTTCAGTTGGTTTGGGCAATATTTTCAACTTAGGTTGAGTTTATCAGAACATAATCCCATTGTAAGTCAAGGAGCATCTGTAGTATATCAGTGTTATTAATATTTTGACATGAGGTATTTTTCACATTTGGTTTGTGTTTTATTATTATTATTATTATTTTGAGACAGAGACTCACTCTGTCACTCAGATTATAGTGGCATGATTTCAGCTCACTGCAGCCTCTGCCTCCCGGCTTCAGGTGATTCTCATGCCTCAGCCTCCTGAGTAGCTGAGATTACAAATGTGTACCATGACAACTCAGCTAATTTTTGTATTTTTAGTAGAATTGAGGGTTTCACCATGTTGGCCAGGCTGGTCTTGACCTCCTGACCTCAGGTGATTCTCCTGCCTTCCCCTCTACCTCCTGAAGTGCTAGGGTTACAGCCGTGAGCCACCAGCCTGGCCTAGTTTGTGTTTTAGGTAACATAATTTAATTCAAATCAGGCTTTTGTCTTTAAGTAATGAGAGATAACATTTATTAATCACTGTGTACCAGCACTAAGTGCTTTACATGTTTTTTCATTTAATTTTTACAACAAACCTATAATGTAGGTATCCTGTAGTTACTACAGTATATAGACATCCAAATTTTAATTTGCTTATAAAATATGTTTTATACTTCAGATGTAGTAGATAGGCATTCATAGGAATTCAGCTTTTTGTCTTTTTATTACAGATACTGGAGTTTAATTTTTAAGCAGAGGAGTGGCTGAATAAACTGAAAGCCAAGTTTTTTCTAAGTCTCTGTAAAGTAGTTACTACATTATGTAGACATCCAAATTCTAGTTTTATAATTTTACATTTGTAGAACTGAAGTACATTCTGTAACATTCCCACACAGCTAAGTAATGAAGGAGGCAAGATTTGAACCTGGCAGTTTAGCTCCAGAACACCTGTACTTTTTCTTTTTTTTTTTTTTTTTTCCTGAGACAGAGTCTCACTCTGTCGCCCAGGCTGGAGTACAATGGCACGATCTCGGCTCACTGCAACTTCTGCCTCCCAGGTTCAAGTGATTCTCCTGCCTTAGCCTCCCAAGTAGCTGGAATTACAGGTGTGTGCCACCATGCACAGCCAAGTTTTGTATTTTTAGTACAGACAGGGCTTCACCGTATTGGCCAGGCTGGTCTTAAACTCTTGACCTCAGGTGATCCGCCCTCCTTGGCCTGCCAAAGTGCTAGGATTACAAGCATGAGCCACCACACCCAGCCTCGGAAGCCATACTTGTAAACACTATACCATATTACCTCTTTAATGAGAATCGTCACATTGAAATTCTGTTGTAGAGCTGGGTACAGAGGTATATGCCTTTAGTCCTAGCTACTCAGTAGACTGAGGCAAGAGGATCACTGGAGTCCAGGACGTGCAGACGGAAGTGAGCTGTGATTATGCCACTGCACTCCAGCCTGGGTGACAGTGAAATGTTGTCTCTAGGAATAAATTAATTAATTAAATTCTGTTTCAGAAAGTGGAGTTTTATCTGCAGTGTAGATTGTTTTTTCCCTAGAAGATAGGCATTATAGATTTTGCCCCTTTCTGAATATTTGACTCTGCAGTGTGGGAGAGAATTTATTGTATTCAACCAGAAACATTTCATGGATGCTTTTGTTGGATGATGTCTTATTCTTTGACCATGTATTACATACCCAAGTCCTTAGACATTATTTTATTGTTTTTAAAATTGTCTTTTCTTTATGTTACAGGCAGATAAGTTGCTGTCACAGGATTTTGTGCAGATAATGGAGGATATTATTCTCACGCTACCTAAAAACAGGCAGATTTTACTATATTCCGCTACTTTCCCTCTTAGTGTACAGAAGTTCATGGTGAGTATAAATCTGTACTTGGAATCGGTGCCATCCTGTGGCCTATGAGTATGCTTTATTTGCAATTACATCTTCCTATCTGTGAATATACTTTATGCTAATTATTTCAAGCCTTTGGCTTTTTCTTCAGTTGATCAATTAAAGATTCGTTGTATTGGCCGGGCGCGGTGGCTCAAGCCTGTAATCCCAGCACTTTGGGAGGCCAAGGCGGGTGGATCACGAGGTCAAGAGATCGAGACCAATCCTGGTCAACATGGTGAAACCCCGTCTCTACTAAAAATACAAAACATTAGCTGGGCATGGTGGTGCGTGCCTGTAATCCCAGCTACTCAGGAGGCT